AGTAGAGTGGCTTAATTATATACAAAGTGGCTTATGTTATTCAGTAAGTTTCTAGGAGTAGCTTTATGCAGAAACCCAGGTTTCTTCCAAACCTTCCCTTCCCAATTAAAGAAACACGTTCCTTCCATCTATGAAAAGAAACACCTAAACAAAAACCTTCCCAATCTATGGAGACAGATTAACCCACACATACAACTTTCCGACCAAACAGCCTCTGGTCTGCTACGCTGGCTACAGGTCACCACATGACTCCAAAGAAAAGAAAGTAGAATTCAACAAGCTGAAAAGTTGAACACGAAAAAGTAGAAAACACTTGACAGGATATTTTCAATTTCATTTAAGCACACATTAATTCAAGAAAATTGAAACTCGTTCTTACTTGGCAAGTTACACATAAGGTGTGACAAAGCTGAGTCTTTCCAGAGCGGAATTCGCCATATAACTCAGTAATAGATCCCGTTTCGATTCCTCCTATCAAAGCCAGATCTTGCAGTATTTAGAACTACAGTTATCACCTCAAAGCAAGTACTTATAAAAAAAAAGTTTGTTAAACTGCATCATGGGTAGAAATTCTAACAGACAATGCTTCTTTGTGAAGACTATAACATCAAATAATATGTACCATCTAAGATCTTATCAAGCTCCCTAGACCCTGAAGATATCTGAATTATTTCAAGCCGCTGTGCATGGAGTTGGCCTGCGCTAGTGAAACCCAAAGGGACCAGTTTCGAAGCTGTTCAAATGCAAACAGAATCAAACCTCAATAATTGCAGTAACCATGAAACCGAAAGGGAAACTAGATAACACAAAATGAGCATCTTGACATGCCTGCCTCAACAATTTTGTCAACTTTAGCTTCACTAATTCCTTTAATTTGCAGAAGCTCCTTTCGAGGAGAGTATGCTACAGATTCAACTGTACATAAACCAGCGTCTTTCAACTTCTTTATATCAAGGGCCGCGATTCCAGCCTCCTTTAGGGTTAAAATTTGAAGTTAGCCTCTAAAATACCATCAAATATCGGTAATTAATCAAAATTATTATGTAAATCTTGCAAAAAATATCACCAAGAACAAGATACCATCAAAGCCCTAATATCAGAAGAAGAAACAACCCAAACTCTGGATAGAAATCAGATGGGTTTTCTTACAAGATTAAGCTTAGATTGGAATTAATTCAAGAACCCATTTGACAACTTCGATATTGAAACCCTTATTTTGTTGAGAACGATTATTGGGAGGGGTGGGGGGGTAAGATAATAAACACTAGTAATCGATTCGAAAGAAACCCGTCACAAGTACCCTAGTTTGAGCAAGAACAAGTTATGAAACTAAAGATTTGATTAACGAAGAGAGTAACATGCCTGAAGTTGTTCGACAGGGAAAGGGCCATGCTGCATTTCTTCCAACTGTTCATCTTGCTGTTGTTGTTGTTGTTCTTGGTGAGCCGTTTTCTGGGTTCTCTGCCTCTGCTCCATCACAGAATTCGATCCGAAATCAGAAGAAATGAACGAAAACGGTGACGAAGCCAAAGGGCAAGAAAAGAATGGTAGTATTTGAAAAGATTTCACAGGCGCCAATTTGACGCGTACGCCAGATTGGGTGTTTCTATTGAACAAGATTTGATAAGAAAAATCTTTTTTTTTCAACAAATAATAAAATAAAATTATTTATTTATTTTCTGAAATAAATAAACAAATATTATCGTACCATTTTATGTCTCAAATTGTTTTCCTGTGGAATGAAATTTGTTAAAAAAAAATTCACTTCGAAGGAAATGAAATGTTATCAGATTTAACCGTCGATTTGGTTGGTAGACATTAAAGGGAATTTGTTAAAAGAATTAGAATCTGTCTGTTTGGTTCACATAATTTAACTTTATAATTTGAATGAAACATTGGTAAATGGCTAAAATATCTGTTTGTTTGATTCACATAATGTAACTTTGGAATTAGACTGAATATTGATAAAGGACAATATTTCTTTTTTGAAACAAAAAATCCAGCTATTTTGGTTCAAATTGGTGGTGGTCGGCGGTGGTTCAAATCGACGGTGGTCGACAATGGTTCASATCGGCACTRGTCAGCGGTGGTTCTAAGCGATGGTGATAGGCAGTGGATCAGGTCAGCGGTAGTTCCTATCAAATGGTGGTACAAATCGACAGTAGTTCAGATCAGTGGTGGTCAACGGTGGTTCAGATCGGTGGTTCAAATTGGCAGTGGTCGACAATGGTTGGTCGTGGTTCAGATCAAGCAGGGAAGACAGGATAATTTTGTCTTTTTAAGAAAATGAGATGAAAAGGGAATTGAACTCCTCTCAATTGTGATGAAACGGCCAAATCCATAACGATGAAATGTGTGGAATTCAATTTAATTTTATAGGTAAACCAAATGCATAAACGAATTTTGGTCAATATAATTGATCATTCTAATTTCTTCAACTTTCGTCGAAATCCTGCAAAAAAACGCCTTCCAATGATCTTTTTGTAGATTTTGAATATGTGTAACATTGCAAAATTCTTTTAGACTAAGAAAAGAGGTTTCAATATATATTGAATGAAATGAGTCTAAAACTATAACTTATATGAAACTCTAAAGGGTTTTTTTTGTTGGTTTTCCATTAAGTCTTGTATGAATAAAACTTTGTATGGATTAATCTATATGTATAGATCAGTAGGTTTTTTTGTTTAAGAGAGTTTTTTCATAGATAGAATGACCATATTTTTTAATTGGGAGAGACATGTTTGGAAAAAAAAACTTAAAAGAGTCTATTTGACTCAAGCTAATAAATGAAAATGACAACATTACCCCGATTTAACCGGGAATGAATTTTTTGGGCTTCTAAGGGAATGAGCTCATTATATTATAGGAAACCAAATGGTTTTCGTTGTTTTCATTCTCATTGACTGTTGATTAATACATCTAACCAAACACCTCCTTAGACTGTATATATAAAGCCCCCCTAAAAGCCTACTGAATAAGATACTTTTTATATCATTAAGCCATTATCGAACAWTAATATATAGTTGACCAAATAAGTTGTGAGTCTAATTAAGATGCTAACAAACATGTCCTAGCACGTCCCCTCCAACGGAGGCTATATATTGTCCCAGAGTGTTTAGAGAAGGCTAGACGAGTATAGATTGCCTCATAGCATTGAGTCCATACGATGGTAGATCTTGACTTTAATATCATGTGTGAATATGTATAGTGCAAAATGAAATATAATTGTTTGGCAATTGTTTACAATGAAATTATGGCACTTAATGATTAAAAGAGGCCCATTCAGAGCACTGTAGAACCAGTAAGAGACATATTTTTTTGTCAAACAAGATTCACCTCTTAATGAATCAGAGATTGTTCGGAAACTATAACAAAAAGTTTAWGGAACAGAGAGCAATATGAAACCATAGAGAAGGTAGAGTCAAATCTAAGAGTCGTACAAATAGAAAATCTACAAAAAGAAGTTTCATACTTCATATTCATATGTGAATATGATCTAATCTACTTTTGTGTGAATAAGTCACTGTTTCGAAATATATCTGCATTCAAGTACATTATAACAGCCTCTAAATTGCTAGCTACCTTATGCATCTACTGGCTGATCAAGTGCTGTCATGCTTCACTTTTTATACCTTTGGAAACTGTTGTTACCTCTGTGTGGGATATACTGGGTTTGTTTGGTTTTGAACGCTAGCTGTAAAAGCCGACACGAACAGGAACATTAGCAGCTTTTACCCAGCTTTCGCCTTGTATAAACGGGCCAACCGTGTACTTAAACGCTTCTTCTTTCTTGAAATCGGCCTGATAACCTCCCCACTTCACTCTATCTTTGAGATGCGATCCGGCACCGATGTTGTTATACTCTGCGTAAAACAACGTCTGGAGGGCAAACTCTCCTTCCCACGGCAACCAACCTACAGGATCAACAACGTCTTCAATCTCCGATTCCATCACGACCGTTCTCGAGTATTCTTTCCATGGCCTCCCAAGATAACTCTTGATCTTCGACTGTTCTGGCTTCAGCGAAGAATCTGCGGCAATCTTGCATTTCTGTAACACGATCCCTGTCGTTTGGTGCTTGTCGGTTCTTCCCTGAGCAGTCACGGTGTTTTGCTGATTCTCCATCGGTTTCCTGATGACGATATCGCATGTTTGGAAGATTGCAGCCGCATCCCCGAATATGAAATCTATCGTTCCCATTATGTAGCATCCGCGATAGAATTGCCTGTGTGTTTGGGCATACAATGTGTCTTGATATCCCTCCATTCGACAATTCAAGAAGACCGAACAATCGGATTGCACTCTTAGCGCCACCGCTTGATGCTTCTCGGGACCTGCTGTATTTCTAAAACCGATCGATTGCGCCATAAATCCTCTCCCGATAGCCGCTGCATACATTCATGATAACAAATTCTCTTAGCTTCTGGTTATATGTTGGAACTTTCGTAAGTTAAACATATTCTAACATGGTATCAGAGCAAAATGCARTATTCATACCAAATGTTGCTGTTTGAAATGTAGGAACTCCATCTACAAAATTTTTGCTTCCGGTGATGACGGTTTTCTGCGATCCGTCACCGTAAATGGTGACGTTCGCCATTTGTTTCGTTACGATCACGTTCTCTTCGTAAACTCCCCCTTTAATGTAGATGACATACCGCCCTTGATACTTTTGGGGCAACGATTCCAGCGTCTTAGAAATCGTCGTAAAATCTCCCGAACCATCTTTAGCGACGGTTACGTTCGGAGTCTGGCTAGGCGCATCGGCCTTTAGCAACCTGCGTATGTCAGGGGTCATCCACTTAGGAAGYTCCTTATCTGCATTTCCCGATAGAAGACGGCGGTTGGTGGCGGCGATGGCAGGCGGTGGTGCTCCTCCTTTATCAAACGACGACACTATCGCAAGTGAATTGCTCGTGAGCTCCTTGGCCATCTTCAAAGACTTCTCGACACTAACCCGAGTTGCCTCTTCTGTAATCGCATCGACGCACGTTTGCTGATACGAGATTACCGCACTCAACCAACTGTCTAAATCCCGAGTTGCAGCGCTTCCTGTGGCTGCATTTCGTGAACGATTGAAATCGTCTTGGGCATCTTCGAGAACTTGCTTACAAACTTCATATGAAGCTTTCTGCTCTTTAGAAGCCGTTTCGGCCTTCATGACCGTGGAGGTTTGTCTAATGGCGGCATCGAGCTCATCAGAGGCCGCGGCTATCGCAGCATTAACGAGATCATTCGGTTTCAGCGACGACCACGATTTAGAACTCAAYGTTTTCTCAAGCCGGGTCTCGCACGTTTCTTTATAATCCGTCGATAAACAAGCCGTTTTAACGGCCTTTTGAGTTTGCAAAACTTTTTGGTCTTTGTTTCCATCCTCAGATGGCTTGTTTCCGCTGTTGCCATTCTTGCCGTTGTCGTTGTTGTCGTCGTTTACGTTTGGCAAGTTATCAACGTCATCATTGGCGTCGTTTTCTTGGGAATTGTTGAGGAAAATCAAGAAAGCGGCGAYGGCGCCTGAAAGAAGCAAAATGGCTACGACGACACCAATCATGATCCGCTGTTTGAGCTTTTGTTCTCTTTCGAGCCTTCGGCGTTCCGAGATTTGGTCGAAATCTTGAAATGCCATGATTTAATTGCCCAGAAAGCAATGAAGCTTTCTTTTTGATCCCTGCCTTGGATTATAACCAAGGCAGAGGATACAAGATCTGGAAATCTTTAAAAAAAAAAGAAAAAAACAAAAAGTTGAAGCAAAATTTGTACAAAAGAATTTGGTTGTTTGATGATATTGAATAGAATGATATTATGTTGTAACAAATTATGAAGGGATTGTGGAGTGGAGGATTTTGAGGACCGTTTTCTTCTCACCAAATGCAATAAATCATGTACTCAA